TCTTTTAGTAGAAAGTTCTTCTAACTTTCTTTGTTTTTAGTAGAAAGTTCTTCTAACTTTCTTTGTTTTTAGTAGAAAGTTCTTCTAACTTTCTTTGTTTTTAGTAGAAAGTTCTTCTAACTTTCTTTGTTTTTAGTAGAAAGTTCTTCTAACTTTCTTTGTTTTTAGTAGAAAGTTCTTCTAACTTTCTTTGTTTTTAGTAGAAAGTTCTTCTAACTTTCTTTGTTTTTAGTAGAAAGTTCTTCTAACTTTCTTTGTTTTTAGTAGAAAGTTCTTCTAACTTTCTTTGTTTTTAGTAGAAAGTTCTTCTAACTTTCTTTTTTTTGTGACAGAAAGTTCTTCTAACTTTCATTAGCTTGTAGTATACCCCCCCTATTTTTTGTCAATTGTTCTGCGCTCAAGTGGATCATGGGGGGTTCACAGCGCTATGAACACGCGGCAGAGGTGAGCTGCAAGTGCCGGTGAGCGCGAGTGACATTCTTTGCCCGGCGGGGCGGATCGGGGTTGGCACCTCTCATACTCTGATGTGCCTCCCCGACCCGCCGCCATTCTGCCAAGGGGCATCACGGTCTGGGTATCCTCTCTGTAGTAAGACGCGAGAGCGCTGGGGGAAATGGGAACCCTCCGCCAACTGGGGTGTATCACTTGTTCTTACCAAAGGTATCTTCGGTTCATCTTTGCCGTCGTGGTTCACGTAAGCCACTATGGGCTACCCTTTGACCCATGGAAAGCAAGGTTCGCTTGGCGAAAAATACTCTTCCCCCTTTTTGACAGAAAGTTCTTCTAACTTTCTTTTCTTTTAGTAGAAAGTTCTTCTAACTTTCTTATTTCACTTTGCTTTTTGAATTCGTCATAGATTATTTGAGTGTAATCTTAGAATGAGAGGTACCGTGCGGCGTTTAGAATAAGTTAAGCGTGCGTGCGTGGGATCCGATGCGATTAGTATTAAGTTAATGTATGTGTGTGTGCGAGTGATACAAGCTCTTTGCTGGATTGTGGTAAAGAACTTGTATATGCGAGCGTATGAGCTGAGTAGAGTTAGAACTCATTTATCCTTCTGATAAATGAGGTTGTATTTGGAGGGTGGATGGGATTTGGAGTTAGGGTGGGTCACTATCGTAGCCACCTCCACGTGGTGTGACCCGGTAATCGGTATAGTTCTCTGAAGGCTTTAAAAAATCTTCAGAGAACTATACCGAGCTAAGAGCTACGATTATAATTTAATTTAGAATTAGAGTTCAGAATTTAAGAGCTACGATTGTAATTTTACTTATAATATATGTATATATAGTTGTATTGATTTATACAGTCATATATATAACTAACCTAACCCAGCCTAATGTAATCTAACCCAACCTATACATTCATAGTTTACGGTGCAATTATAAGAATTTTGGAAAAATTATGTTGGATCATTGAGGAGCCCCCATCAGTCACCACTGCGTGTACCGGCTAGGTACGGCATTGGCAGCAAACTGTGACTTCAGCTGACGCATGCGCATAAAGCTCTCGCGTGAGATAAAATCTCACGACTGCCCAACTCTGCCGCGAGCAGAGCGCCTCACCTAAAATCCCTAGACCGCAGACGGTAAACGCAACAAACGAATAATGCTCATCCTTATTATAATTGTATACAGAGAAAAAGTAATAAACGTGGAACATAAAATGCAAATAATATTTCAGATGTACACAGCAGATAATTTTAATAAATATCACAAATAACTTTTGACTTTTTAAATATAGAGAATTTGAGATATTCAGGTTTCTCAACTTTCATATTGAATAATATTCAGGATTGAGATCTGGCGCCTATAATGTAAAGAATGGTATTGTTTATAGGTGCTGTAAAATATTTAATAGTGTATCAAAATAAATTACATTACATTCAAATGTTGTAAATGAAACTAAGGTTCTTTTAATACATATTTTTAAGTATTTTATTTTCTGTCAAGTTAGTTTTTCGTTTAAGTTATTTTTGTACGTTCCTAATATATTTATTTATATCACGTTAATAATGCTACTCCATGTTTTAAGAACACTTCCAGTTTCAGTTGATCTGTGTTTATAATAAATATTTAATCATTTTTCGCAATTATTATGTTTGTCCTTAATAATTAATATTATATACGTGTATAATACAGTGTAATCAATTTCATTTATCAAGCAACTTCTATGTACATTCAACATTGAAATTTTGATGATTCTCAAAATTTCAAAACAATGTCAAAAAAAATTCCTCTTAATCAAAATGATATACAACCAACGTTTAAAGGATTTCTGGAACGAATGAAAAATAAACATGCAATGCAATCCAGGTATAAAAATTGTGTATATTTAATACATTTGAAGACATCATTTAATGCTAATAACGCAATGTATTATTTTACTTTTGTAGTACTCCTAAATCATCAACAACAAATTCACAAACAGATAAGGGTTCAGATACACATAACAGTAGTGAATCTCATAATACAATAAAATCGGAAACAAATGTCCGTAAAACATCCATTATATCTCTTGTAAGATCATTTTATATTATAATATAAAAGTCATTATATATAAAAGAATGCACAAAGAAATACTCTAGTACATTTTGTTTATTATGTTTTAGGATAGTTCTGATGAATCAATGTTCTTTGAATCTTTTAATGCTGTTGAAAAAACGGGCAGTCAAGAAAAAACAACATTTAATGGCACACACACACCTGTATCTACAAATGTACAAAAATCAAAAATTAAATTTATTCAATCATCAGACAGTGAAGATGATGTACAAACAAAACCAATGTTGAGTTTAAATAGAAAAAAAAGAATGATTAACAGCAGTAATGAAGAATCAATGTTAAATGAAAGCCCTCCAGCAACAAACGAAGAATGTAAATCTACTTGTGACAATGTATCTTCTCAAGAATCTCCTAAAAACAACAATGTTTATAAAGCAGAAACAGATGAAAAACAATTAATTGGAAGTGATACTCCAAGTACTCCAAAAAAAAGTTCGACTGATATAAAATATGAAAAGTGCATAATATCAGATTCAGATAGTAGTCCATGTTTTAAACGTAGTCCTACACAAATTCGTAAAAAAAGATGGATAGGCCCAGATTTCAAATTAAATTTGAAACCTTTAGGTTTAGGGAAACAATTGGATCCTTGGATAGAGTCTTCAAGAAAGAAGCCAATAATGTCTGCAGTACCTGTAAATATTATGTTCTATATATAAGTCATATGTATTATTGACAAATTAATATACTAACTACATTATTTACAGGTTACAAAGCAAAAATTAGAAGATAGATACAAGCATTTAAAAGATTTTCAAATAGAAATTCTTGATAAATTTTATACTGCATTGGATCAAATACCATTGCCTGTTCTGGAAAAATTTCCGGATTTCGATAAACGATCATTTCAAGATTTAAAAATTTTATACCAACATGTTAAAGCAAAAATACGATTAGTTGAGACAAGGTTAATGCACGCAAAAACTGATGAAAATCAAAAACCTGTTGATGATAAATTATGTGAATATAAAAATAGTCCACCATTAGATACAACAGTTGGAGCTTTAAGTGGGCAAACAATTTTAAGTATTTCAGATAACAGTAACTGTAATATATCCACTGTTAATTTGGTTGATTCAGAATCGAGTTCTATTTCTTTTATGAAACCAAAAGATACATTTTCACCGACGGTAGATAGACTTCCTAAATTTTTAGAGAAAAGGAATGAGTCACAAATAAATGAACAAAAAGACCATACTGTTGATTCGTGTAATTCTCCCATTCAAACAAAATCTAGCGATTCTTTAAATCAAGGAAAAAAGGGTAAATTCCAGTTAAAAAGACCTATTAAAGCAACTATAGGTTCTGAAGTATCGAAACGAATTGGAGAAATATGGGAAAAGGAAGAGCAGTTCAAAGTTTCAGACCCTAAACCAGCAGTTTCTGATAGTAATAATCATACGAAGTTCGAAAATTATGAATCAAAAAGAATTGAAATTAATAAAAATGCATGTCCAGTTCAAGAAAAAAAGCAAGATTTTCAAACTAGTGAAAAACTGATATGTGATAATGACGAAGAAGATTGGTTCGATACATTTGGTAAACTATATCTTATCAAGTTTTACATACAAAAAATATTATAACATATATATTATAATAAAAATTTATCGTAGATGATAATTCATATGCTGAAGATATGGTTGATGGTTTAACTCAAGAACTTGAACAGTTCCCTGCATTGAGTAAAGATTGTAATATAAAACTAGGTAAATATAACAATGTGTAAAATGATTTATTCTTTTTTTTGTTTATTTCTCAAGTTTTGATTTCATCAAATAAAAAATAGCAGCCACACAAAATAGTCCTAGTAAGGAACATAACAACGAACAAAAAAAGGCATTTAAACCAAATATTGAAAGTGGTAATTTCACTGGAAACTATAAAAATGATGGTGTTAGTGGCGAGTTTGATGGATTATCATATACACATTCACGAGAAATGTTAAAGGTAAAACATATTACGCTTTCCTTTTATTTGAATACTTATTACTGTTAGCATGAAATTCTTTAACCTTTCAGATTTTTCGACAAAAATTTGGATTATATTCATTTAGGCCAAATCAACTACAAGCAATTAATGCTGCAATGTTAGGATTTGATTGTTTTGTTCTAATGCCAACTGGGGGAGGGAAGTCATTATGCTATCAACTGCCAGCCCTCTTGTTACCTGGAGTAACAATTGTAATTTCACCATTGAAAAGTCTTATTCTTGATCAAGTTCAAAAACTAACTTCTCTTGATGTAAGATTTTAATCAATGTACAGTCTACATGTATGGTGGATGTCGTTTAACTATACTTTAACAAATATTGTATAGATTCCAGCTGCTCATTTATCTGGTACAATAACAGATGCTCAAGCGGATGCAATATACAGGGAACTGTCGAAAAAAGATCCTGCCCTTAAATTACTATATGTAACGCCAGAAAAAATATCCGCATCCCAAAAATTTTGCAACCTTCTATCTTCATTGTATGAGAGAGGGTTATTAGCTAAGTTTGTTATTGATGAAGCACATTGTGTTAGTCAATGGGGCCATGATTTTCGACCCGATTATAAAAGGTTAAAAATGCTTAGAGAAAATTACACCAAAGTGGGAATGATTGCTCTCACAGCAACGGCTACGCCCAGAGTTCGGACCGACATATTACATCAGTTAGGACTTACTCGACCGAAATGGTATGTAATTATATTAAGTGAATTTTTAATATCGTCAACATTTCTTTTTCTTCTTTCAGGTTTATGTCGAGTTTCAATAGACCGAATTTAAGGTATAGTATAATAACAAAGAAGGGTAAAAATTGTTCAGATGAAGTTATAGCCATGATAAAAACAAAGTACAAAAATGACTGTGGTATCGTCTATTGTTTATCTCGTAAAGAGTGCGATGATTATGCGGTACAGATGAGAAAGAATGGCATTAAAGCATTAGGCTATCATGCTGGTCTTACAGACAATAACAGGAGTAACATTCAAGGTCGTTGGATTTCAGAAGAAGTATGGAATTACGTGTATTTTAAGTAGCTGTAAATCTGTTTTTATAAATACGTGATTATATAATATAAAAAATTTTAGATTAAAGTTGTTTGTGCGACAATAGCGTTTGGAATGGGTATTGACAAACCAAATGTACGCTTTGTAATTCACGCAGCTCTTCCGAAATCTATCGAAGGTTACTATCAAGAGAGTGGACGTGCTGGTCGCGACGGAGAAAATGCGGACTGTATATTATTTTATAATTACGCTGATATGCACAGAATAAGGAAAATGATTGAAATGGACAACTCAAATCCTGACGCAATAAAAACTAATATAGATAATTTATTTAAAATGGTATCATTTTGTGAGAATAAAACAGATTGCCGCAGATCATTGCAACTGAATTATTTTGGAGAAATATTTGATCGACAACAGTGCATCAGCAATAAAGCCACGTCATGCGACAATTGTAGAAATAAAGTAAGTGAAATTTCAGATGACATATTTTGCTAATTAATATCTTTAAAAATATAAGATAATTATAAATATGTACGATATTGTTTAGGACGACTTTAAAATGTTAGATGCAACAGACGACGCTAAACAAATTATGAAAGCTGTACGTGAAATTACCCAATCAAGAAGTGCTAATCTTACATTAGTACTACTTACTGATATATTTAAAGGAAGTGATATTAAAAAAATAAGAGACGCAGGTATGAAATATTATTATTCTGTAAGTATTTTCTAATGTAATTGAAGTCTGTATTACCGCTGAATATTTATACAGGTCTTAATAAGCATCCTGTGTATGGTCGTGGAAGATCATGGAACAGAAACGACATAGAACGATTATTACATTATATGGTGCTTAAAGATTATTTACAAGAACAGATGTATATAAACAATGAAATTACTTGTGCGTATCTAAAGATTGGTCCAAATGCTAGTGAATTGATGACAAGAAAAGATATAAAGGTTAAAGCAATACATAACATTTCTATTAATTTTATTTAAATATATTGAGTAACATATAAACAACGGATAACATATAATAATTGTTTCTAAAACAGGTGGAATTACCTATAAAATCATCTACTGGTAATTCCGCTACAGTGGCTACAGTATCTACAGTTACAAAGAAGATTGACAAGGTCCTTCTTGAATTACAAGAACGTTGTTATAAAGAATTAATGGAAGTAATAAAAGGAATTGCTGGGGCACTTGAGGTTTCGGCGTCTTCGATTATGAACATGATAGCAGTTAGGGCAATGAGCCAAAGGCTTCCAGATAACGAGCAAGCTATGTTAGAAATACCACACGTAACTCAAGCAAATTTTGATAAATATGGAAAAGCTCTGCTAGATATCACTCAAAAATATGCTGCAGAGAAATATGGTAAAAAACATTAAAAATTATTTTTTGATCATTGTAATTCTTAACTAATTACGTGATTGTACTCGTAGTATTATTAAATGAGGAACAAGCAGAAAGTAGTGCTAGTGATGATGATGATGGCGGTTGGGACAATAGCGCTCCTGCTTTTGCTGGCAAATTTAACGGAAGCCAAGGTAGAAAGCGGAAAGGTAAATCTAATTATCGAAATACAGCTAAAAAGTATAAACGAACAACAACAAGGTAAGAATATTAATATATAAATATTGACTTGTAATATTTAATTTTACATGCACTATATCATAATTTTTATTATATTATATTAGTACACAAAAAGGAAAAACTACCACAAAAGCGAAAAGTACAACTTCGAGTTCGAGTAAAGGTCCTGGACTTATAAGTTTAAATAAAGACAAAGTGTATATGTCGAATCCTCATCGATATATGCAATTGGGTTAATATATTGATTTGTATTATATGTTTGTATTTATAAAAGTGTGATGTAACAATCATGACTGTTCCATCTAACGTAGGATACATGGTATCCGTTTTTATCGAGAATTGGCACTTTTGCCATTTTATAATTGAAAATAATGCAACAGTATTATGTATTGTTTTTGTAAAAAAAAGAAAACGTTGAAAGGTATGTGTATGTATATATGAAATTTACTAATAAAGTTTTTTATTTTCATAATGATTATAAAATTATATATTTTATATTTCACAAAAAATTAGAAAATAATTTTGTATTTATTAGTACAACTATTTATTTATGTACATATACAGCATGGGCTATTCATTTCAATTCAGATTATATTTACAATAAATATACTACTTGTCTATGTACATTAAGTAAAATAATATTCAAATAGCCCAACATTTCATTTATTGTGACTAAACTTGCTCTAAATTAAAATTCATAAATATTTCATGATTATAATTCTGGTTGCATTATCCTTGCTTGACGATCATCATTCCTTATATGCCTTTTTAATAAATCCATGATTTCATTATCAAATTCAGGTGGGGTGGGTTTTGCACCTGTAGCCCAATAAAATATATCCCAATCATTTGTTGGTAAATTTATAAGACGATCATACAGTTGTAACTGTTTATCATCAAATTCGTTTAAATATTTTTTTGCAAATGTGCTTAAAAGAAGGCCATTTTCTAACATACCACGTTTACGAGATTGATATACTAATCTGTAACAAAATTTTGTTTTAATACAAAAGTTAAAAATATTATTGTAATTATCATTTCTTATTACCTAGCTCTTTTGACATCTGTATTCTCTTTTTCACGTTCAATATATTGTGGTATACTTGGTTCATGACCATCCGGATGAATTAGATTATTAAAATCATCTTTATACCTCAAACAACCCGTTGAAACATTCCTTACCGATGACACCGGTTTAACCTTAAATTACATGTTATGTTAATTACGTATATATTTCAATGACTACAGAATACATTTTTTATATATTACATATTTAAACTCACCGTCAAAGCAAAATATTTCACGAAAGTGTTCATTTTTGTTTCCTATTTATTTTTTCTTTAAGTGAAATTTGTGATACACTGTCAACGGGACTTTCATAATATTGAAGTCAGCTGGGTCAGCTGACGGGGTTAAATATACCTAATATTTTGTTGTATTTGTAGTGCTATGTACTGTTATAATTAAATATTTGCGTATTTATAATTATATTTATACATGTTTAATGTTTTGTAACGAATTTACTGTAATTCAAATGTGAACAAAATATATTAGTAAACATTATCTGTGATAAATTGAATATAATAGATAGATACTTTAATTTTGTTATGTATATAATTACAAATAAAATAAATAAATATGACGAACAGCTCTCATTGCATAGAGCCATAAAAATATAATCATTTTATTTCATATGAAAAAATTACATTGACTATAACTATTAAATTGAGATTACTAATTAGATTCTTTAGATTATACATTGTATAATTTGTGGTAAATATATAATATATACAATATATTTGTATAATCAGGGAATAATTGTTTATGATTGTTGATATAATCACTATGCAGAATACAAATTCTTTTTTAAACCATAGTCATTCAAAAGATCAATATGAAATTGTTCCCAAACCATTAGAAGTTATCGATTCTATTCTTTCTATGGATGATACAATTTTAAAAAGTATTGAAGATGATGATAATATACCATTTACCACAAGTCCTAAAGTACATGACAAAACTTTACATAACTTTGCACATGAATGGCAAAATACAATCAAGGCACAAGAAACTACTAAAGAATTCAAAGGCGGTGGTAATAATAAGTTGGACTTGCCAATTGAAACTGAAAAAGTAAATAATATATCTACTGAAGGGAACAGTTGGCAAGATAATACATTTTTGAATGAAGTTTTTACACAATTGGAATCATCTATTAAAAAAGATGATGATCATGAACATTTCATTGAGGTAGATTATTGAATTGTAGTCACTTTTATATATCTTCAATTATTAATTACAAAACATTCTACTTTTAAAAAACAGGTTCTTACTCAAACCACTGAAAATTATACTAAAGAATCAGTATTTGTAGAAAATGTAGATGTATCAAGGAAAGAACATCATCATGTAAATTCAAAAAGAAGTTTAAACGAATATAATAATGTAATTCCAAGTAAGATACATTATTCAAATGATAAGAAAATAAATAAAAGAAATTCAAATTTATATCATTCAACTTCTATAAAGGATGATAGGTTTTATGGTTTACCAAGTGCAGTAAAGCAACTTTTCTCACAAATTAGGGGTATTGATACATTATATGGTAAGTATTTTATTGATTAATGTTATTAGAATATAAAGTAACGTTAATAATATAAATCATCTAACATTTTCAGAGTGGCAGGATGAATGTTTAAGTTTAGATGCAGTAAAAAACAGAAAAAATTTAATTTATGCTCTTCCAACAAGTGGAGGTAAAACATTGGTTGCAGAAATATTAATGTTAAAGGAAGTTATATGTAATAAACAAAATGCAATATTTATATTGCCATTTGTTGCTATAGTACAAGAAAAGGTCAGTACTGATTATAAATAATTCATTCAACAATTTAATTGCTAATTAGCTATATGAGATATACACATTTTTTGCAATTTTAGGTTCAAGCGATGGCACCATTTGCATTAGAATTGGATTTCTTAATCGAGGAATATGCTGCATCAAAGGGAGCTTATCCTCCTAAAAAACGTCGAAAAAAAAATAGTATATATATGTGTACAATAGAAAAAGCATTGGGTTTAATAAATAGTTTAATAGAAGAAAAACGTTTTAAGGAAGTAAGTAAACTAATAAAATTAAAGAATACAATTTGAATGATTTTTATGTATTATAATTATTTTATTGCATTAAAATATTTTAGATTGGCCTTATAGTAGTAGATGAACTACATTTAATTGGTGAAGGCGGAGGCAGAGGTGCTACACTAGAAGTAATTTTAACAAAAGCATTGTATGTTAATGGTAAAGGAAGATTTCATAAATATTTTGATGCAAAATTTGCATGGAACTTAAAGTAAAAATTATTAATATTTTAGAAACCGTTCATATTATCGGAATGAGTGCAACGATAGGCAATTTAAATGAAATAGCGGAATTTTTGAAAGCGGACTTATACACAGGAAATTTTCGTCCTGTTGAAATTAAAGAATATGTTAAATGCGATGACTGTATTTGGTTACTTGATTTAAAATCAGAAGAACTATTAACAGATATGAAAAAAATTAATTACCGTGTAAGCATAATTAATACATATTATTTATCAATATTTTTTTATTGTTGTTTTTCAAGCTATATATTTGTATAAAAAGTATTCAAGTGATGCAGCAATCATAGATCCCGATAGAATTGGTGGTCTAGTAATGGATGTAGTTCCAAAAGATTCGTGTCTCATATTTTGTTCCAGTCGGAAAAATTGTGAAAATGTTGCATTATTATTAACAAAAATTTTGTTCAAGTGAGATCTTCTTTTATAACACTTTATTATTTGCATAAAAGTGCAATATTTTAAATTATTTATATGAATATTTTTAGATCCTTGGAAGCACATAAGACAAACGAAAAACAAAATTTATTGAATGCACTTGAAAGAGAAGAAGGCCTTTGTCCTATCTTACAAAAAACCATAAGGTTTGGTGTAGCTTATCACCATTCTGGCCTTACAGCCGAGGAAAGACGATTATTGGAAGATGCTTTTAAAGCAGGAACGCTTTGTGTAATATGCTGTACATCTACGTTAGCAGCCGGAGTAAATCTACCAGCTAGAAGGGTCCTTTATTTATTATTATGTACCGTTTTACAATAGTATTACTTATTTATTCTTATAAAGAAATGTACAACAGGTGATATTAAGAAGTCCATACGTTGGTAGCGAGTTTATAAATTTAAGTAGATATAAGCAAATGAGCGGGAGAGCTGGCCGTGCTGGTATGGGAGACATAGGAGAAAGCATAATTATCTGCAAAAACAATGAGTTACCTAAGGTAATAATAAATATATAACTGTGATAAATTTGCAAATAGAGAACGGTTATAACACATCAACATTTTCTACATAGGTGAAGGAACTTTTGGAATCCAAAATGGATGATTGTATAAGTTCATTACATGTGAATAAAGATAGGGGTATAAATAATTTAATTTTAAGTGCTATATTATACTCAATTGCAAAAACTCGATTCGAGTTACAAAAACTTGCAACAAGAACATTACTTAATATACAACAGGAACGTTTAGGTATAAATATTAAACATATTGTGGATTCAGCAATAACTGAATTATTGAAAAGTGGTGTAATAAAAGTAAAAGATAAAAGTAAAAGCATTGATGTGTATCAACCAAATATAACTGTTGCTATTCCATCACAAATTACATGTCCTAACGAATCAGATATAGAAAAAAAGGTAAAAAAATCAATACAACTTATGAACGATACCAAACTAGATTTGTGCAATTTAGGACGCGCAGCTATGAAAGGTATAATCAGTTGTATCAATAAGTATTAACATATTAATTTCCGATATTGTCATTGCATTTTTACATTGAAGGATGCATCGATATTCAGTGTGCATATACATTATATGAAGATTTAAAAAAAGCTCAAGAACATTTAGTTCTCATCGATTATTTACATTTGTTATATCTTGTTACTCCATATGATATAATACCTCAAGTAAAAGTAGTGGGAAGTGTTTATTACGATGTTGTAATAAATTTATCGGAAACGCAAATGAAAACAGCAAGAGTACTTGGAATCAATGAAGTAGCTATAACTAAAATACGTGATGGTCTAATGCCCAAAGTAAGTACATATTTTAATTTTCGTGTACGAAATATATTTGTATATTTAAAAAATTACAAAATGTTATAGAACGTAGAACCAAGAGTAGTTCAGCGATTTTATGTAACATTAATACTATACGACCTGTGGTGTCAACACGCGGTGTACACCATAGCAGAAAAATATCAAGTAAACAGAGGCACTGTGCAAAATCTTTTATCTGCAGTATCAACATTTGCATTTTCTGTAGTGAGATTTTGTCAGGTAGGTCAATAAATGCATAATTTTTTCGTTCTATACAATTTTAATAAATAATTTTATTTTAGGAATTAGACGAATTTTGGGCGTTCAAAGATTTATTAGATGCATTCAGTAAAAAATTATCATACTGTTGCCCTTTGGAATTGGAAGCATTAATGGATTTACCATTAGTAAAAATTGTAAGAAATTTATATTCATTTTTTTGAATTCTGATAAAAATTTATAATTAATTGTTTTTTAGGGAAGAGCACGTCAGTTGTATAATGCAGGTTTCAAAACAGTACAATGTATAGCTAAAGTACAACCAAAGGAATTGCTGGAAAAAGTTCCATACTTGAGCAAAAAAACTGCAACACATATTATTGAAGCTGCTAAAGTAACTGCTTTAAATATTAAGAGTGTACTTATATTTTACATTTTAATACTTTTATTTCTAACTTCATTTTTATTATATTTTACAGTTGATTATATTGGAAAAGATTCAAAATTTGGAAGAAGAAACAGAAGATATCTTAGACGGTATAAATATAAAGAATTTAAAGAGGGTTTAAATTGTGCAAATTAAAATATATAATAAAAATATTTGTTTATTTATGATATTCAAATTTCTTTTGTATATTATATCAATGAAGTATTTTTTTACAAATAAAATAATTAAAATATATGTACTGTTAATTTATAATTAATGCATATTGTGTCAACAGATCAATGTGTTTTAAGAATAGCACATTGTTTAAGCAGGCACATAAATCAAATATCCAAAGTGTCTTTGATTTCATTCTAAGGGAGTATGATATCAAAACATTATGGAACAGTTTTCCCATTTTATTAATTTAATATTACAGTTGCTGTACAGGCTTATGATAAAAGTTAAAAACAACAGTATTAACATAAATACATTTAAAATACATATAAAATGTATATGTCCATTATTTAATTATTATCGTTTTTTATATAAACATGGATTTAAAGTAATAGAAGGTAACTTATTTCTGTGGCTACCTATGTCTTTCTCTTTCTTAAAGTCTAAGAAATAAAATAAGTTATGGGACAAATCAGTCCAGGTGTTCTTAAAACCATAGCTCTCTATTGTTTTTATAAAATCTTCCACCTTCTCAAATCGACTTTCAACTTCAGCTATTTTCAAAATACCACTGGAAACAAATTTTTTTACATAAATTGTTTGTTGTATAGATAAGATCAATTACATTAGTATTTAACATTATTGTCTTCTATAGTTTTTTCCAATACTAATACTCACTCTTTTTTTAGTACTCTATTGGCTTCTATAATATAATCTTTAAGATTGGTTCCCATCAGAGATAAACAGAATACAACAACATGGACTCCATTTGTTAATAATGGAGTATGTGCCATATCACAAGCAGTTACATTTTCATTCAATGAAACAAAGTCAAAAGAATGCACTTTATGGGGAACAGAAGCAGCAAGTTTGGCTTCCCCACAACCAAAATCAGCAATTATATTACTCTTTGACCTAAAATATAAATAATTGGTAGTTACTATTTAATACAAAAACTAAAGGCCCAAAATTGGAACAACTATACTAACATCTTCTTAATTGAAGATACTATAACATCAAGTGGGTTCACAGGCCACTGTTCAACCTGTTGTTTGTATCCTTCATGATATGCTTTGAATGAGTCAGGATCATTTTGAAAATAGTTATTAGATTCTGTACTTTCACTACTATAAAGTGATTCATTTATGTACCTAAATCTAGATGCTCTTAACTTAGTCATCATTCGTTCCCTCAGAGAGGATGTATTCATATTTTCTTTCCAATTTCTAGTTTTCTTTTGTTTAACAACTACTTGTTCCCTTAAAGATTCAGGTTTTACATTCTCTTTTTGATTTTTTGCTTTTTTCTTCTTAGTACCTATTTGTTTCCCCAAAGACTGCAGTTTTGTATTCTCTTTTTGTCCCTTTGTTGCCTTTTGTTTACCTGTTCTTTTTTGTGCAGGTTGTGGTTTTGTGTTTTCTTGCTGACCTTTTGTTTCTTTCTCTACTAACTTCTTCAGTCTTTTAATATCTAGTTTATGATGATTTGTGGATGATTTAGAATTATGGTCTTTCTTTTGCACAATCTTTTGTTTCTTAGCTTTATGTGATGTTGAATCAAATTTTGTTGTCTTATTATTTGTTTCTTTCTCATTCCTTTTACGCTTCATGCTCTTAGATTCTTTTTCTTTTAATACTTTTTTAACACTGTCAGTATCAGTCTTATTACTGGATTGATTAAAATTTTTGTTTCTTGTATTATGTTCTTTCCTTTCACGTCTATCACTGTTTTTAAGCATTCTCCTTTGCTTTTTATTTCTAGCTTGAAATCTAGTCTTTATACTTTGACTTTTATTTTTCGTATCTAATACTTTCACAGAATTTTGCTTTACAAGGTTAGCAACTGCTTGATGTTTTTCTTCGTCAGGTATCTGTTTGAATTTTTTTGCTAGCTTATGTTTGTCCTTTGATTTCTTCTTAAATTCATTTTTATCTTTAATGATAGCAATTTTATTTTTATCTTGATCTTTTTGTTTCTTTTTCTAAAATAAATATCAAAGACAGATATTTTCATGAAATACTAACCGAAACAATCGAAGATGTTTCACAAATCACATCACATATAAATATGTAATTATTACATATACTTTACAATTTTTAATTATTTACCTTATTGGTTTTTATTTCATGAACATTTGTATCAATCTTCTTTGCGTTACTAGTACTTTTCTTTACCTTCTTAGCCATTCTTTTTAATTATCAAGCAATTACAACCGTCACCCACGTGGATAGGAATAGAACTGTTTATAATAGATATATATCGTTTTGAATATGATACGATTAGCGCGCTCTAGTGGTAAATGAAGAACGCACCTCTTCAAAAAATTGTTTTTTATCGCAGAATAAACAATTTTTAAATATTAATAGCAAACGTAGAATACTTTAAAATACCGATACACTTCTATTACTGACATCTCAATGAACACATCGTCAAAATCGATAATTACAGAAACTGTATCTTGGAAACGATACGGTAACACTTTCAAAATTAACGATACCGGAAAACAACCGACAATCGTATTCCGAAACAATTAAAATCATACATAGAGAACTTCTAAATTCTTTCAGGTATAAGTTTAATGATGGATGTAGGCGGGAACTAACTGTACAATATGAAATATATTTTATAGAGGCAACCAAAAAGAAATGGTTCGCGCCATTACTTTCATGGTTTACTGTCAGATGGCACCAGCAGGATATTAAAGAACATAACTTCCCTAACTAAACCCAGCTTTATTCTTACAATTATATTTACAAAGAAATGTTTGTCATTCAGAAACTTATATTATATTAGATTAATTGTTAATAAGTTTCAGTGAAAAAAATTCGGTACGTTTGACAATGAAGGATGTACACAAAAAAATATTTGTATTAGTTTATTTATTTTATTACATATTGGAAACTTCATTTGACTTACCTGGTGATGAACTTCATTTTACAAGGCGTGAAGGTTCTGCAGATATTTCGAATCTTCTGCGCTATGATGAATTTCCTCGTTGTTGAATTTATTATGAAACACTCGTTAGAATTTTGACGCAATTTGAAGTGAGTTTGCAAAGCTTGATATGACTATTTTCATTTGACTGTTTGGAGCATACCGTGGCATAATTTAGTTAATTATAGTAGTTTTCCGCGTTATGCTCTGCGTTTCTAGGAGATGAATTGAAATTACTGCCAAGATGTCACAGTACTCGACGGATTCGTTGGAAGACGCGAACGAGATCTCCCCGAGGAGCCAAGATTCTTTGCGCGAAAACAGTGTCAACCTGCAGACAATTAAAGCTGTAAATGATTTATCACGTGACGCGTCGCATCGTACGAAACGTACCACTACATTATTAACTCGTAAACAAGGCAAGCGTACAGTTTCCAATTTGCGACGTCTTTTACTTTATGTAATTATTTTTAATAATATTAAAATATGTGGGTTTATTAGAAAATAAAAAAATATTGAAAAATTTAATATTTATTTTATTGACTGATTTTATATAATATTTATTTTACAGATATAATATTGTAAAGTTATTTTAATAATATAATACACACTAACTAAGTAGTTCAGGAGTACCACAAGGTTACCTGACCTAAATATAAAACTTATTCTCTTATTTACAGAATATACTCTTTCTTAAGAAAACCCAAGGTACCTCGTAGAATATTTAGTTCTATTAGTTATGCTTTCATTCATCGAAAGATATCATTGGACATAGTATTTGTTTCTTCCACATCTTATCTTTTCTTGAAAAATGAATGGTCCGCGAGAAGGAACAGTAATATCGACCCAACCGAAGGAACTCGCTTTCATTTTACTCTCTTTTTTCCTTCTTTTGGAAATGTTTCAGATACCAGATCTAATGAAACCACGTCGAGCATCGGTATCAGCAAAGACACGGAGACAGTCGGCAGTAGGAATGCGATAATTGCAAACGGAGACACGTCCAAACGACGACGCCCGGTTTCTTCAAAGAACAGAAAACGAGACGTTACGGATCCCCCTCGGAAAAACGTAAGATCTGGAAATCTCAAATCATCTTCAAACATTTAACACGAGAAATTACAATTACAAGATTGTTTTCCAATTTTTTAGGGCTGTGAACTTTTATTGGGGTGTAATATAGGGAAGAAAGTATAAACAATTTTAATCCTCAAATTCAATAAGCATACCTCACAAGTACTTATCATTTAGTACAAATTAATTAATAATCCCAATCTTGCAGGACACCTCGAAGCAAGATCAGGAAGACATAAAGAAAATGGCCGCAACCAAGTGTACCAGACTGAAGTCGAAACAAACTTGCTGCAAGAAAACTTCGATACCTATGAAACCCGATAAAAATCTTAGCAATGTCGCACCAAAAATGCAACAATCGGAGCTCTATTTGGACCTTGATCAAAGATTCAGTTAGTTTGTAACGTTTTATCCTTTCGAGTTTGTGATCGACGCGAACTTAAGGGTTGAAAAGGGGATGCGTTTGAAACGCTAGGAACGCTACCGGAACAGTGCAATTTTCTTGCTAGAAGGTTTACTTTAAAGTTATTTTAATAATATAATACACACTAACTAAGTAGTTCAGGAGTACCACAAGGTTACCTGACCTAAATATAAAACTTATTCTCTTATTTACAGAATATACTCTTTCTTAAGAAAACCCAAGGTACCTCGTAGAATATTTAGTTCTATTAGTTATGCTTTCATTCATCGAAAGATATCATTGGACATAGTATTTGTTTCTTCCACATCTTATCTTTTCTTGAAAAATGAATGGTCCGCGAGAAGGAACAGTAATATCGACCCAACCGAAGGAACTCGCTTTCATTTTACTCTCTTTTTTCCTTCTTTTGGAAATGTTTCAGATACCAGATCTAATGAAACCACGTCGAGCATCGGTATCAGCAAAGACACGGAGACAGTCGGCAGTAGGAATGCGATAATTGCAAACGGAGACACGTCCAAACGACGACGCCCGGTTTCTTCAAAGAACAGAAAACGAGACGTTACGGATCCCCCTCGGAAAAACGTAAGATCTGGAAATCTCAAATCATCTTCAAACATTTAACACGAGAAATTACAATTACAAGATTGTTTTCCAATTTTTTAGGGCTGTGAACTTTTATTGGGGTGTAATATAGGGAAGAAAGTATAAACAATTTTAATCCTCAAATTCAATAAGCATACCTCACAAGTACTTATCATTTAGTACAAATTAATTAATAATCCCAATCTTGCAGGACACCTCGAAGCAAGATCAGGAAGACATAAAGAAAATGGCCGCAACCAAGTGTACCAGACTGAAGTCGAAACAAACTTGCTGCAAGAAAACTTCGATACCTATGAAACCCGATAAAAATCTTAGCAATGTCGCACCAAAAATGCAACAATCGGAGCTCTATTTGGACCTTGATCAAAGATTCAGTTAGTTTGTAACGTTTTATCCTTTCGAGTTTGTGATCGACGCGAACTTAAGGGTTGAAAAGGGGATGCGTTTGAAACGCTAGGAACGCTACCGGAACAGTGCAATTTTCTTGCTAGAAGGTTTACTTTGGTCGTGATTAGATGTTCTTTCTATATATATATATATATATATATATTTCCAAGGAAGAGGATTAGAACATACGTTGACCCTTCCAGCATCTCTCTTTTTGTTTGTTTCTTCTCTACTCGCTTATTTGCAGTCGCTATGCTGTACTGCTTTATTGTTGTTTGGATGCGTCGAGACTCTCTGTAATTTGAAACACGTTCGCAGCCTCGATTCCGTTGGTAAAAGGATTGTTTTCGAAGGGAAGGTTTTTAAAATGTTAGGCGTGGCAGGTATCTGGAAATTACGTAACAGCTGTTGGGCCAGAAGGGTCTGATACTAAAGGGATTTTGGGATTTAGACTAGGCTGTAAGCTTCGAGATGCTTGATAGCTTTGGGATTTTGGGTTGACAATCAACTTTAACAGCTTGGGGTGATGAAGTTGCTGAAAATTTTATCAGCCAGCATCCTCGTTTTCGATGCGTTTAATTATTTATCGTTCGTTTATTCGTTCATTTACTTTCATGATGATTCGTTATTGCTCGCTATGATGGATTCTATAAAATCATCGCCCATATGTGATATCGGCCGAATGTCAAACGTGCTTCAAATGTGTGACATAAAGTATTAAAGGTTTTCAGCTAAACTGTTCCTTTTTTTTTTGCCTCCGCAACTATCGATCAGTTTCTATCCAAACACGACAGTCACGAGTCCGTTTAACGTGATCCTCCCTCTTCAAACATTAATTCGATCTCGTACTGCTACGTGCTGCATGCAACTGCTACTGGTCATCATTGCCGTATAGGGTTGAGGCTGGGCTATCTAAAATATGGACTGATCCCTTCTACGTTATGTGACAGACCTAGGATGTAAGATATTTCGTGCAATTTATGTTAGAAGTTTAAGTGCTTAGAGTTGCAATTATTAAAACTTTTAGATTTATAGGTTTACAAGTTTACAAATTTTTAATGTTCAATGTCCTAAATTTTTAAATTACCAATTCGGAGGTATCCAAATAAATTCCTAAATATCTACATTTTCAAATCCCTAAATCCCCAGTTCTCTAATCCTCAATTTACAGACCCCAAATTTCGAAACATTCAAGCTCTCCAGTTCCCAAATTCTCAAACTCCAATTTTCAATTTCTAGATTTCCAATCTCCCACTACCCAAATCCCAGATCTCGAATTCTCAATTTCTCATATCCCAGTTTCCCAAATCCCAGATTCCCAATTTTTCAAATCCCAAATTCCCAGCTGCTAGATTTCCAAATCTGTTACACCCAAGACCAGTAACCCCAATTTTTTCACCGTAACTAGCTCCTTCGAGCAATCTAATTTACAGCGATTCGCGCGTAAGAAGATCGGTAAGAAAGATTCATCTTCACGTTGCTCGCAGGTGTACCATGGTACAACGCTCGATCCCCTAAGGGTTCCACCTTGTCGGTTTGGGGGGACAGCCACCAAGAGCAGCTCACAGACGACGAAACACGTTCGTTCGCTACCCCGAGGGACGATCAAAGCGAGCTGAGCTTTTATCGGCGTCTAATCGAGGGATCCAACGATCCTTTGGCCCCGACCATCCGATCCTCCGAAACTGTACATCAGCGAGAGCTACAGGACACGAACATCCTCTCCTTTTCCTTGGACGAGAGAGTTAAGCAACTGTCTGGCGATAAATCGAAGAAGAGCGTGGGCTATCGGCCGTACACCATCGAGGAATACAAGACCTTGTCGATTCCGAAGCTCGATCGATCTCTTGGGCCCGATAAAGTCGAGATGCAAGCGAAGGTACGTTTGTTTCGTTTATTGCTTATCTACCTATCCACCTTACATCCTTTGACCGTACTTAATTGCACTGGGATTTATTCGTCACGCGATCCTGATTGGAGAACAGGAGGAGGGCAAACACTCGAACGCTACTGGTATACTTTTATGTTATCAAAGCTGAATCCTGTCGTATTTTCTCATTTATTTAACGCTTCAAGCTTTAAACATTGCAATTACAATTGTTGTTGATATCACTTTGGGATGTGATTCAATCAAAGTGAAACATTTTGCAAGATCAGATTTTTTATATCACTATGTAAAAATGTTATACTTTTATGTAAAAGTGTCCTACGTAACTGGAAGATAAATTAAATCTTCTTGAAAAATGTGGTTGTCCCACTTTCATCGTAAACGGCACACAGGCTACTTCTCGATGCACCTGTTCGATAGAATCCATGCGAAGAAAACGGAAGTCTGTAAATGACAAGGTAGCTGCGAGGAAACGGCCGCATGTTTATTAGATTGAAGTTACGAAGATGGGCGACAAGCTAACTCGCTTTAGGTCTTCCGTGAAATTGTAAACTGTGATGGGTCGACAGAAGCGAAGTTTCTTCTACTTCGCTTTCTCGGCGACGGCAGGTTAACTTCCGGTAGGACAAGGAAACGAGATTGCGAGATGTCTCTGTTCGAACTTTTGGTAACTCAACTTTCATCCTGGCTGCGCTTATTCGTGAATCGCCAAAAATACTGTTTACGTGTACGGCTGTTAGAAATGTGTTCGTTTAAATAGAAACCAATCGGTTGTTTACTTTATCAATTACTTAATAGATATTTACTAGGTGTTTATTATTTGTCGTGATATTATTAGGTGTTTTGGAAAAATAATAGAGTAGATGTGAACAATAATTTCAGGTTGGAATGAAATAACTTTGCGTTCATTTAGGGTCAAACAATTCTCAGTTTTTTAAGATCTGAGTTCTTCAGGATCAAATAGATTTGAGTTCATTTAAGGTAAAATAATATTAGTTTTAATTAAGGAACAACAATTTTGACTTCATTTGAATGAAACAATTTTCTTTAAACTTTCAGGGTTGGTCTCGACATTTGATATGATTTGTTAAACATTTAAATGTTACTCTTTGCAACTGCTTTGTAATAATTAGTGAGTGTAGTAGTCAATGAGGTATTGAAAGCAAGGAATACAAGGAACATTTTCGGAAAGTCGTTTGACGATGCCGTTCTTTCGAGAGGACATTCTGAGCGGCGTGCCGACGCAGCTTCGGTAGCCGCGCGACGCCAAGCGTACGGCGAGGAAATAGTTGTCGTCGTCATACTCGGAGACACAGTGAATTCCGGAAGCCTTTGAGCTAAATACTCCAGAGTCGGAAGGTTGTTCAGCAAATTTTTCAAACTCCACAGTACCGCGAGCTGAAATTCAAGGGTGACAGAGAGATAGGGAGAGACCACCTACTTATGGACCCACGCATATTCTCTCATAGACACGTATCCGCATTCCTGCTCGTTTCTAAGGAACCGGAATTCCGTTGCTCTGATCGCGTGCCGTTATCGCGGAAACGATTCTAACGGATTGGAAATTAAAATTTCATACTGTTCATTCACCCTCCACGCGGATGTGTTCTTTAAAAATACATTCGGAGGGGAACTCGAAATTACGGAATTGAAGAAATTCACATTTTTCATGTGAACTCTTTTTTTTCTTTTATTTAAGAATACGAAAAGTGGCATACATGTTTGGTCTACTACAACAATTTGAAATAAGTATTTTTCAACTATGTCTGCAGTGTTGTGTGATACACATAGCGAAAGATACAATAGTGGCAATTTATGATGGAGAAATAAAACTTTAAAGAAGGATTTACAGTTGTTGCCAGTAAAATTACCTTGCCAACTATATAATTACTTTGCAAAAATATCTATGAACACAATTATCAGCATTTCCCTAATTTTTATTACTAATTTAGGTTTTTCGATCATTTCATATCTATTCTCGAAGTAAAATGAACAACTATGAAACGTGTACGTGTAGGTTGCATGTCAGTTCCAAGAGAAAAGTACGGTCTTTATGCAACATCCCTTACTGTCCCGTATTTATCGTTCTTCAACCATTATCCAGAATTACGTTGGAGTAGTAACTTGGTAGCAGGGAGATAAATGCACCGATACACGGTGAATAAACTTGTTCCTGGTGGACGCGTCGTCGAGAACAATTTAAATGAAATGCCGGCCGAGGTCAACGGGCTGGAACAAGGGGACAAGAGAGGTACACCATAATGCCCATAATTACACTGACTCTCGAGAGGTTGTATTAATATTGCCCACGGTTTAACTTGCCATGATATTAACCATGCACCGACGTGCATTAACTGGTGCGGTTTCGCGACAGAATGACACGACGGGTAAACAGAGAGACGAAAAAACAGAAACAGAGGAGGAAATGTAAAAATGGAGACAGAGAAAGTGAGTCGTATCGATCATACGATGTTTCGCTTTTGACTGGGAGAACATGAACTGTTTGAAGCATAGCGAAGTGCTATTGTAAAGGTATAGGTACTTTCTGTATAGGAAATTTATTTATTACTTCTTTGACGATTAGTTAATTAGTGGATGTAATTTTTAAATTCTTAAGTATATTAAAAATTGTAAAGCTCTTTTTAAATGAATCTCTGAAGTTTTGCCGGTTACCTCACGGTAAATGATGTCTTAAAAACTGACTTTTAAGCATAAACTTTTAATGCTGGAAAAGGTCATACCAAGCAACAACCAGTAATTCTTAAACCAAGTAAAAAAGAATTGAATTAAAATTGGAATTTAAAAGTAGAACGTACTCGTAGAATGCGGTTCACATAAAATAAATCTGTGCCAGTACTTATGGAAGTGGCTGTACACACACGGTGTTCGGTAAAAGAGGGTTAACTAAAACGTAACAAGTATAACAGTGCGATGCGTCGAGTGTGACCCTCCTGTCTGATACAATTCCGTCTCTCCTCCTCCCGTTCTTTTGTTCGTTTCCTCTATCCGTCGGTTACCACTTGCCCCTCACTTTTCCACCAAGTTCTCTTTCGCACCATCCTCTTTCGACGAGCATTTGCATAATCTACTTTACGTTGGATTCGGCCGGGCCAGTCGGCACCTCGACGATTTTCGCTGTTAGCTCGATCGATCGATCTTACTAGACTTTTAACGGGCAAACCGGTGCCGGATGTTCGCCGACAGAGAAATGAGGGGTACACAAAATTGTCAAATGCTCTAACGACAGACAGAGGGTGTTGAACGTGCTCGTTCGCGTTACCGGAAACTTGCACGGAGTGGGCGAATCGTCGCGTCGGGGGGCTTTCGTAAAAAGTAAATAAAGCCCCGGGCAACCGGCCGAACCCTCAGGTCTGTTTAGTTTGAAAGTTTCATCGAAGCGATGGCTGCTTCGGGGATTGTTTGTTGTTGCAGAGAGAGTGGCTGATGCGGCGAAGGTCATACGGGAATTCAGTTAGTGCTCGTAATTGCCAACGAATACTGATGCAAGCACAAAAACTCAAGGTAAGTACTTCTATTTTCTTTTCATATATATATGTTATAGAATTTTACTGATTCTTTGGATAAGGATGTTAGAGGAGTAGTTCTTTATTCAGGATAATTTCAAATAATTTATAGTCTTAAAGTTTCTAAATTTTCCAAACTTGGTAAGACGCGATACAGGTAATTTCGCCATTCGCCATTTTGTTCTGCGTTACTTATAATAACGAGAGTCGCATTAGCCGCGATAATCTCACAGGAAAGTACCGAGCGCACCCTCTCATTTACAAGAAATGTAACTTCTTTGTAATCTTCGTCGTTCTTTTAATCTTCCCCTTGTACCATTGTTCAAAGTTCAAAGTAGTGAAGATAACGAGTCTTTGCTCGCACAAAAGCAAAGTTCCATCGGGGTAGCGGAAAAAATGATAGTGATAAAAATTTCGTTCAACGACTCTTTGTTCTCTATTCGGAATTAATCCCTGCTAAATATCCTGCCAATCAAAAAATCTGTCATTATAAACGTTCGGGAACGGTTTCCGGATAATTTCAAGCGTTTCGTGCAAAATCGTTACCGAAAATGCCGGAGCTTTCACCAGTAATTTGAAGAGATTAATGCACGCGAATGGAGCAGTTTCAATTTATAAAATGTGAAATGGATTTCTTTTGGTCGTCGCGCGGAACATTTTTTATGGCCGCGGAAAGCGCAACACGGTATTTATGCTCTGCTGAATCGGAGTTGCATATCGTTCTTCGGAACTAATAATATCGCGGAAAAAGGATAGTCGAGGTGTGGCAGGATGACTAATTGACGTCGTCCACCATTTGATACATTCAATATTTAATTGCCAATTAGGGGATGCAAAGAGGTACCCCGACGAAAACTGATTCGTTTCGCTCGTTTGGCGCGCAAAAGTCAAGCCTCATAATGGTCCGCCCAGAAGATTTATAAGCGAGATTAATTACGTGCGTATCATTTTCGCGTTAATAATGGGGAACGTCTCTTTTTTTTCAGCTTCCAATTTTTCCCTCGTTCCATTCTTTCTCGATACGTTCACAACATCAAATCACCGTTAAATCCTCCCCTTTTACATTCGTTTTTGTAATTGCCACTGGCCAAGTCTACTTAATTGCTTTTTTGCTTAATTACTTTTTAACAGCGTTATATCAATTGCACAGGCGTGAATCGGTATTAGATGTACTTTAGAATGTATGCAGAGATAAGTTCAGTTTTATGTAACACAATTATAAGTTGCATCTGTGGTATTTAAATAAGATATTATACTCCGTTGATACATATACTCTGGTACATTTGCAAGAAGATTAAGAGTTAATGTTACAGATAAATACATTTTGTTATAAATCATTTTTAAACATCTTTTATTACAAATATGTTAAAATTGTGGCTTAAAATTAGATTACTCAGTGCAATTAAATAGAAAGTTCTTCAAAGCTCTCTGCTATTAAAATAGAAAACAAATTGCACGAGTAAATTACTAAATTTATCTGTTCGCATTAGCCTCTGAACCTAGGACTGGTCCCCATAATTACATTAAAGGCACCTGCTCGTTATTAGCAGCATCTGCAACAGTATCGGACAGTATCTTTTATCAATACAGGGATCAAATTTTCTTAATGACAATCCCGGTACGTTCGCAAAATCGAGTCTCCGGTAGCGATTCCGTTTCACAGTTTATCAATTATACATCTGCGATCGTTCGTAAGGGAGGAGCCACGGAAAATTAGTCCTTACTCGTTAGGTTGGATTAAATCTAATCATAAGACGCGAATGGCGTGGAACGTAGGAAAAGGACCGAAGGCTAGCGTGAATGCCGTTGGGCGAAGTATAGACCGGTATCCGAACCGAAATCCAATTATATGCACAAAGCGAGGAGTGCAGGCCGCAACTACCACAGGCACACGGCTAGGAATCGAGGATACAAGGGGCGAGAGAACGTACAGAAATTCTCTACACGTGGATAAACCTGCGTTACATCTCTCTGGAAAGGGTAGTCGGGTACCCGTGACTCGCCTACCGCCACCGGAATTAGATTTTGCTTACTTTCGTCCTTGCTAGAGTGGCCTCCGCTCGTATCCTCCTCATCTGTCCGCCTAGCCGGTCCCTCCGAATCGATAATCGCGGCCTGAATTTCAACGAGTTACGCCCTTTATGCATATTTGCCCTTCCTCCGGCAAACTTTCTTTGTCCCGGGCGTTCGGTGCCGTCGATACAACCGGTCACCGCAAAACAATTTGCAAAGGAATTCGGAAATAGCTGGCGACGTTTCGCGACGAACCTCCCCGCTGACGGCTAACTTCCATCGAAACTATTTCTAAATAATTTTGCCGCGAGACTCTGTCGCGTGACGTGGAATTTTTCAGCTGACAATCGCGTTACTTCACTTTCCGAATAGTTTCGGGGAACCCTGTTGCAAATACCGACAGTCTACTATGCGAGTAAATATTCGTGAAAACGGAGCACCGCCATTTTCATCATTTTTGGTAAATAGTCGACAAAGTTACGTGCGGTCTTCTGCAGTTTTCAATCCGAGCTAAATTTTTAATACTGTCAAGGTCACTTTTACAAGCTTAGCATTATTAGCTTAGAATGGAAGTTTGGGTGGGTGCGTGATTATTTAGTACATTGTTAAAGTCCCTTCAAAGTTACTTCAAGTAATCAAGGTTTCAATTTGAGTTGGCGACACTCTTATTCAAGCGCATCAGTGCTACTTAATGCATAGTTTGTGTCCATAATTTCATACACTCAAAATGTACTAAGTTGCATACTACACTTCAATATTAATGACAAAATTTTATAAGTTATCAAATTATTTCAATAATGTCTAAAGTCCACGTTTCTGAATTGTAAGGTTCCTAGTTATGAATACAATGATATTTTATACGCGAAAAGTCTTGTTTCTTTTCTTTATTTCGATTCTATGAGAAAACTATTCAGCTCGTTACAGATATCGACTTCTTTATGTTCACAGTTGAAGGATGATATCGCTGAAAAATGTTTCCTACCTCCTTTGAAAGATCAAGAGATCGATGCAAAGGTAACTCAAGAGCTCTCTTTCGCAAATGCTCATCCATGATCCTTTGTTCCCATATATTTTCCTACAAATGTCTGAAAGGAGACATTTTCAGTATTTTATAAAACAAGCATACCATGTTAATGATCGTGGTATTTAGAACAAAACTTGTAACTATAATTAAAATTAGAAAAATTTTAGACTTACTTTATACATAAAATATTTTGTACATAAAAAAATGTTTCTATCATAAATTTCATTGTAATATTCGTCATAAATTTGCTGCTAATGCAAATATCATTGATACCTTTCCAGACGCAAGATGACTCGATGTCTTCGATGATAACCGACGGCCGAGCAACCTCAAAGGACAGAAACGCAAATTGCAGCAGATACTCAAAACGGAATCAGAAGGTCGGCAAGATATCTTCGCCAAGAAGTTCCAAGAAATTTGAACGAACGTCTAGCTTCTGTTCGTCCTTAAACTCTCGCGACTTCATTGAAGATTCATATTTGGAGTCCCTAAGGCAACGCCATCTTTACGAGAAGGAGATGGTGGATCGTATAATAAACCGAGCACTATGCTCCTGACTACACAGCAAACAACTCGCTGCATAATTTAAATCTCGTCCAAGAAACTGTGAATACATCTGTTTACCGTTGATTTTTAAGTATGAACGCATTTCTCTTGTCCAAGTCGTCGTCAATTATTTCGATCGAATCTTGTAATTAATTTAACATCGAAGTTTGCATAAATCACAATCGATTCCGCTATCAACAAGTCAGCCTGTTTTTCGGCTTTCGAGCTTCTTGCCGGTAACAAAAGATTCTTGCAAATAAACTACACCGGGCTCAGGAGATTAGTCGAGGAATGAAATATTTAAACTTAATTCCATCGAGGTAACTTATTCATTGAATGTTATCTTGGGAGTCTGGCTGGCCCGCGTCGATATACCAGTCACCAGCGGAGGCGGTTATATGGCCGGTCACGCATAACTACCTACACTTTTCCATTCATACGGGCAACAAGACCGTACGATACACCGGGGAATATATAGTTCCGACGAATACAGAAATTATTCAACGCTTTTTGACGTTTCGAGTATCGCACGACCTGGCTGTTGCTTACTCGGAGCTAAGTCGTGTCAAGGATCCACGACACGGACATAACCCACGGAGACTATTTTTATCCACGATCATCCGCAGGATTATCCACTGGGAAAGAATTTAGAGGGCCGCTGTCTTTGTTTTCTTTATTCTTCTCTACAGGTCGTTTCATAACGCGTAAACTTTATTTCGGCAACATGCACAGGATTCGTAAAAGGCGGGTTCATTAAAGCAAGTCAGATATAAAGCAAGTTCATTTTCCTTTCGCGAAGCCGTAAAATTTTAAGACGGGCCTTCGGGTACGTAACGTACGTGAGTGTCGCGTGTTATGAAGCATTCTGTAGATCGCGAGTGCTCTCATGAATAAGGGAGCACGTGCACGTAGCCCTGGCGTAAAAAGAAAGAAGAAAAAAGCGGTTTTATACCGGTACAACTGCGTCCTTCTTTTGGAACGCCTCGTTAAGAGCGAGACTCCGTTAATTATCTTTCGCAATAATCTGGCAGAATTTTCGGCGAACCGCGGGCAAGAGCGTTCCAAACTTGGACACGGATGTGGCTATTTAATTTCCGGGAAACGGCGTGTTGTTATCGAGTTGAAGTTTTAACGCGTTATCAAGGAGATACCGGAAAGATAATGGCGCAAATATAACAACGTTTGTCCACTGTTTTCCGCCTGGTTTAAATGTTGAACAGAAGATAAATCGAACGTGGTTTATTCAAAGGATCGAGGAAAAGAGGATTGCATCTAACGTATCGGCACGGAAGTCACGTGTGAAGGCATCGCGCGTCGAAATCGAATTTTAAACGGTGTTTTCCACGCTCGTCATTTGACTCCCGAGAGTGCCACTCGATCTCTTTACGATCAACATTTCATCAACGTTTAATCTCCGTTGCTGAAGCGAATCTGTAAATCGGCGATCGCTTTAAAAGAGATATTTTAACAACGACATCATTGAAACTTCAATGACGTTTCCATTGGAAACAAATTCCCGCGTTCCGTAATCACTATTTACTCCCACTTCCAGTTAATTAGAACTTTGTACTCTAGATAGTATTTTCTACGAGCTGACTTTTTAAATCATATCCTCAGAACGCAATTTCATTTCCAGCAGGAAAGTCCGAGGAATTCGAATAGTGGCGTGACTATCGAACATCGTTATCGATATTTATCGATAATACCGGTAAGCTACCGATAATTCGATATATCGGAAATACCGCTTGAATATCGTTTAGCAAAATAGCGGCGGAAGTGATGAAAGTGGAGTGTATCGCGTAATTTTGGTATTTCAATGCGTTTATTTTTATTGGAGGTAGGTTGTGAGTTTCAGTGGAATGTTTTTTCTTTCGGAAAGAATTTTTGTGGTTTTAGGAAATAATTCATTTAACAGGTTCTACATTTTAAAATTTTTTTCATTTTTTAATTTCACAGTTTCTTAATTTTCAGTTTTTAGTTTGTAATTACTTAATAGTTAATTTCCCAATTCTTAATTTCCCACTTCCTAATTCATTAATTCACTAATTACTAATCTTTTAATTCTTAATTTCACAACGCCTAATTTCCCAATTTCTACTTCCTCACTTCCTAATTGCCTAATTTCATAATTCCTCATTCCATAATTCCTAACTTGACAACACCTAATTTCCCAATTTCTAATTGTCCACTTCCTAACTGCCCAATTCCTAATTTCCCAATTCCTCATTCCCCAATTCCTAACTTCACAACACCTAATTTCCCAATTTCTTATTCATCAATTCCTAATTTCCCAATTTCTAATTCCCCAATTCCTAACTTCACAACACCTAATTTCCCAATTTCTTATTCATCAATTCCTAATTTCCCAATTTCTAATTCCCCAATTCCTAACTTCACAACACCTAATTTCCCAATTTCTTATTCATCAATTCCTAATTTCCCAATTTCTAATTCCCCAATTCCTAACTTCACAACACCTAATTTCCCAATTTCTTATTCATCAATTCCTAATTTCCCAATTTCTAATTCCCCAATTCCTAACTTCACAACACCTAATTTCCCAATTTCTTATTCATCAATTCCTAATTTCCCAATTTCTAATTCCCCAATTCCTAACTTCACAACACCTAATTTCCCAATTTCTTATTCATCAATTCCTAATTTCCCAATTTCTAATTCCCCAATTCCTAACTTCACAACACCTAATTTCCCAATTTCTTATTCATCAATTCCTAATTTCCCAATTTCTAATTCCCCAATTCCTAACTTCACAACACCTAATTTCCCAATTTCTTATTCATCAATTCCTAATTTCCCAATTTCTAATTCCCCAATTCCTAACTTCACAACACCTAATTTCCCAATTTCTTATTCATCAATTCCTAATTTCCCAATTTCTAATTCCCCAATTCCTAACTTCACAACACCTAATTTCCCAATTTCTTATTCATCAATTCCTAATTTCCCAATTTCTAATTCCCCAATTCCTAACTTCACAACACCTAATTTCCCAATTTCTTATTCATCAATTCCTAATTGCCCAATTTCTAATTCCCCAATTCCTAACTTCACAACACCTAATTGCCCAATTTCTAATTGCCCAATTTCTAATTGCCCAATTTCTAATTGCCCAATTCCTAATTGCCTAATTTCCTAATTCCTCATTCCCCAATTCCTAATTTCCCAATTTCTAACTTCACAACACCTAATTTCCTAATTTCTTATTCACCAATTTCTAGTTGCCCAATTTCTAATTCCCTACTTCCCAATTTCCCAAATTCCGAATTCTTCAATTCCTACTTTCCCAACCCCCCAATTTCTACTTCCCCAATTCCCAATTCCCATCTCCTAAATTCCCACCTCCTAATTTCTCAACCAAAAAATTTCAACAATAAAAAAAACATCGATAACAATTAACCGCACCCTTAAATTATCAACCCGAAAATCCGCGACAACCGCGAGATCTCGAGTTTTCTCGCGAGTTACTGCATCCGGCGCATGGAATTAGCGATGCATCTCGAATAGATTTATCGTGGGCAGATTAAGATTAACCCTAGAAGAGCGGAGGTGTAATCGATTTCCGAGGGAGTTGCATTCGCGCCGTCGTGGTCGCGATGCAACAGCACACCTGGCGGTGGTTGTTCGCACTAGGTGGTTTGTCTGCGTGTACCAGGAAAAGTTGCTGGCACGTGGGCGTGGTCGTGGTAGTGACGTGAACAGTGCTCACGTGCGTGTGTCCGTGCGTGCTGCAGTGTGGCACCCGGACCTGATGCTGAATGCACGGGACGCGAGGGCAACGACAGGGGTCGGTACGGACTGATTTCGCCATCAGACTGCCGCCGAACGGGCAGGTCTGTCTCGCGTGCCAGCACACATCAATGGTTCAGGTGAGTGATGCTCCTGGTTCCTTTTCTTCTTCGAATCGTTTCTAGATGATCGTCGAAGGACGAGATCGTACGGAGTCGCTGGCGATAACTTGTTTCGGACGGTTCTGGGGCAACTACCCCGACGAATGAACCACGTCACGTTCAAGATGTCGCTAGTGCAGCGAAATGGACGATATTGCTGTGAAGGTGCAACTTCGCCGCGTGACCTTGTTTCGGTGGCGCTACTTGTGGCTGTTTTCACGCGACACTTTGTATTCTGGAGGGGTAGCACTTTTTCTGTGTTCTATAAACATTTTTTTGGATTTTTTGAACTTTGTAAACTTCGAATTTATGAATCAGATTTATGAACGTGGAAGTTTCTGAACGTTGTCAAGTCTTTGAGTTTGTATTTACAAATTCCTAAGTCCCAAATTCAAAAACTTTTGTACTCTAAATTTTTATATTTCTATAGGGTGTTTCATAACTAGTGTAGCTCTCTAAATGGGATATGAAGCTTTGTTTCTGAATTGTTAACGAAGAATACCGATTAATCATACTGCGATAAAGCGCGCACGGACGCGATAGTGATGGGTTCGAGCGCAACGACTGACCATGGTCGTGAACAAGAGCGTTAGCATTGTGTCACCACAGAATCACAATTTTCCAAATCCTAAATGACAAAAATCTCAACGTCCCAAATCGCATATGACTAAGATTTAAGTTCTTCAACTCCTAAATTCCCAAATTTTTAAATTCCAAACTCTTCACATTCTTGACCCTTAAATTTCTAATTTCGGAAGTCCATAGGCCTCAAAATCGCCCCAAAAGATCTCAAGATCTTCCAGAAATCTGAACTATCAATGTTACTAAATCCCAATTCCATAAACCACCAAATTCCAAAATATCCAAATCCCACATTTCCTAAATCGAAAGAAAACTCTACAGCCCAATGTAGCAGGTATTCATTT